GTTCAAACTTCCAAATCTGACCTGATGGCCAGGGGCGTAGCTTTCAATCTGCTCCAGATGGCCAAGCGAATTAGCCCACAGTGCAAAGCCTCCGAATACGAAGATCTGTCCGGGGAGAAAAGTCTCACCTTGGACCGCATCGCTATCGATGATAGTAGGAGCCATCAAGCCTAACGGCAACGACACAGAGGAACTCTCAATGAAAGCACCAATGTCGGTGTCAAAACCAGCGGATCTCGGGTAGGGGGTCCCGAACTGTGCGTCTAGGCCGGATGGTAACAGGAGGCGGGGGACACGAAGTTTTACCCAGGTTCGGGCCCTCTTGATGGAGGTAAAACCCTACGTCCTGCTTGATTAATATTGATGATATGGGTAGTACAAGAGTAGATCTACCACGAGATCAGAGAGGCTAAACCCTAGAAGCTAGCCTATGGTATGATTGTATGTTGTGATTGTTGTCCTACGGACTAAAACCCTTCGGTTTATATAGACACCGGAGAGGGTTAGGGTTACACAAGGTCGGTTACAAAGGAGGAGATATCCATATCCGCATTGCCTAGCTTGCCTTCCACGCCAAGTAGAGTCCCATCCGGACATGAGACGAAGTCTTCAATCTTGTATCTTCATAGTCTAACAGTCCGGCCAATGGAGATAGTCCGGCTGTCCGGAGACCCCCTAATCCAGGACTCCCTCAGTCATCTTCCACCAGGTTGAGATAAGTGACATCCAGCTTGGGTCTTTCTGCTCTGAAGGAGAAGCTGATCAACTCACCACCAGTAAGACACATGTGGGCAAGGAAACAGGCCCATCCATCTCCTCCAATCTGCGATATATTGCGTCCTTTCTCGGCCTCCATAGTGTACGGCCCCCAGGAGCCTCAAATGTCACAGTGTCTCCTGTCAGCTTGTTGAATTTAAACCTCACATTGCATGGGACGATCTGTGTAAAAAAGCAAAATGACACAATGCAGTAATGCCAACACAAAAAATAAAATAGTTGTTACATTTCATCTAATTTCTTACCGCCGCATGACAAAAACTCGGCTGGAAGTAGATGCCGAATAGCTTGCCAGTTGCAAGGCTTCTGGTGCACCTTGACTTGCACAGTCGACATAGTGGTGGTGGTGGTGGTGCCATTTTCCTAAAGCAATATAAGCAAAGGATTAATGATTCACTTCACAGGAAAGAAAAACAGTAGCATGTGATATTTTTGGTTCTTCCGCGAGAAGCAATTTTATGGACAAAGCATTTCGGTGGCAGCTATTGCCAAAAAAACTTTTCACAAATATCTACCAAATAAGGGTACCACCTACCAAGACATTTCATCTCATTTGGCCCCTATTGCCTAAGATAATTGATTAAAAAACAAGTGGCAAATTTAACTAAATTGGCACCTACATTTTGCCAAAAAATAACTTATTACAAAAAAACAAAAGCATCTACCTATCCATGTACAGAAAAATAACAATAAAATGGTGCTTACTGAATCAACTAAATCAACTAGCATACTAAATCAACTAAATCAAAATGTTCTAAATCAACTAGCCTACTAAATCAACTAAATCAACTAGCCTACTAAATCAACTAAATCAAGATGTTCTAAATCAACTAAATACTAAATCAACTAAATCAAAATGTTCTAAATCAACTAAATCAACTAGCCTACTAAATCAAAATGTAGCGGGGAGGAGGGGTTGTGGATGGAGGAGGGAGTAGGGAGAAGGAGGGGCGACTCGAGGAGGGAGAAGAGAGTAGGATGGAGGAGGAAGACAGAGCGAGGAGGGGCCAGCCGGCGGCGAGTGGAGGGAGGACGGAGGAGGAAGGTGTAGCGAGGAGGGGCCGGCCAGTGGCTACTAGACGGAGGACGGGGGAGGAGGCCGGTACCGAGTCCAGCGAGGAGGAGGAGGTGGAGGCGGCGCAGATCGGAGGAGGGGCGACAGGGGAGGACCGACGTGGGGGTGAGGGGGAGATCGAGTGAGTGTGAGTGTGAGTGGATCGGATAGATCGGAGAGTGGGGGAGATGGAATGTCTTAGCAGTAGCGCGCTCCAGCAAAAGGCGCTACTGCTAAACGACCTAGCAGTAGCGCCTTTCACAAAGAGCGCGCTACTGCTATGTGTCAGCATGTAAAAATAGACATCAAAAATACATTGATCATCAATGATCTTTTTATGTACAATTTGATTTGTCAATATGAGTCCTCACCAGTTTAGGAACTGGTGAACACTCATATTGCGGCCACAAATTCTACACATAGAGTTCAATGAAGACCAAGTGGTTGTGGAAGTTTGAGAAGTAACATATTTAAGGTGGTACAAACTCTCTTCACGAAGCGAGGTGGGACTAAATTTTTTAGTAAACTTAGTAGTAGCGGTTATTGTGTAAATGCGCTACTACTATGGCCCCTAGCAGTAGCGCTCTTCATATTAGCGCGCTGCTGCTAGAACTAGCCTAGCGGCGGCGGCGTGGCAATTCTAGCGGTAGCGCGTCTTTGAGAGGGCGCGCTACTGATACATTTATTTCAGCAGTGAGGTTTGTGCGCGCGCTACTTCTAGTTAGCAGTAACGCCTTATTTTAAAGCGCGCTGCTGGTAAGATTCTGTGTATAGGCTTTTCCCTAGTAGTGGGAGTAGGTTTCTCCCCCTTCCTAGTAGGAGTAGGAGAAGAAGGAAGAGGGAGAGAGAGGGAAGGAAAGGGGGGCTGGCCCCCCACCCAATTCGGATTGGGCTTTGGGGGGGCTCCCTCCACCTGGTCGCCTCCTCCTCTCTCCCGCTAAGGCCCGATAAGGCCCATTGACTCCCCGAGGGGTTCCGGTAACCCCCCCCCCCGGTACTCCAGTAAATGCCCGAACTCATCCGGAACCATTTCGATGTCCAAACATAGCCTTCCAATATATTGATCTTTATGTCTCGACCATTTTGAGACTCCTCGTCATGTCCATGATCACATCCGGGACTGCGAACTATCATCGGTACATCAAAACACATAAACTCATAGTACCGATCGTCATAGAACGTTAAGCGTGCGGACCCTACGGGTTCGAGAACGAAATAAAATGAGATAATTCATGAAACTTGGGCAGTGTGCATCCAATGTGGCCTACTTTGGATGAAAAAATGGCAGACCCAATTTTATATCTTATTTCAGGCACTTTCTACACAAAAAAGTCATTTCTAGCACTTGAAAATGGGAAAAGTAAGTTTTTATTCCAAAATGTGCACAATTGGTATGCAAACATTGTCCACAATGGTACCACCCATGGTTGTGCTAAATTTGGACATGTTATCATGAACTATGCCATAGAAGTGGCCATGACCATGGGCATATGCCTTGAAGTCCATACAAGTTCATAGTAGATAGGCCATTTTGTGAAGTTTTTTTTCAAACTTGTCGTATTGCAAGTCTATGAGTTTTCCTAGTAACTAGTTCACACAAAAGGATTCCTTGCACTAGGATTTCATTTTTTGAGGCTTTTTTTATATTCTTTGTTTTTTTTAAAATGTGCTCAAACTTGCACGGATGACTAATGCTACTAGATGGTTGGGAATTTTAACTTTTGTTGTGCCCACTGCCTACACCACCAATTCAAAAGCTAAACATGATTTTTGCCTATTTTCATGACCAAGATACATGACACTTGTAGTTCAAATTTGAGCAAGTTCTGATTAATCTCTAGAAATTCAGTAAATGGATAAAATATAGAATAAAACTAGATAATTCATATCCAATGTGGTCTAGTTTGCATGAAAAATGGCAAGACCCAATTTTATAACTTATTTCAGCCACTTCACAAAAAAGTCATTTCTGGCATTGGGAAAATGGAAAAATAAGTTTTTATTCCAAAAATAAGTCACAGGGATTTCATTTTTCTTGAGGCTTTTTCCATTTTTTTGATTTTTTTTTCAAAATGTGGTCAAACTTGCAAGGTTGACCAATCCTACCAGATGGTTGGGAATTTCAACTTTGGTTGTGCCCAGTGCCTACACTACGAATTCAAAAGCTAAACATGATTTTTTTTTCAATTTTGAAGACCAAGATAGTTGACACATCTAGTTCAAATTTGATCAAGTTTTGATAAATTTCAAGAAATTCAGTAAATGGATGAAATATAGAAATAATTCATAAAAATTGGGCAGTGTGCATGCAATGTGGTCTACTTTGGATGAAAAATGGCAAGACCCAATTTTATAACTTATTTCAGCCATTTACTTCACAAAAAAGTCATTTCTCGCACTTGAAAAATGGGAAAATGAGTTTTTATTCCAAAACATCTATAATTCCTATGCAAACATTGTCCACAATGGTAACACTCATGGTTGTGCCAAATTTGAACATGTTATCATGAACTATGCCATGGATGTGGCCATGCCCATGGGCATATGCCTTGAAATCCATACATGTTCATAGTAGATAGGTCATTTTGTGAAGTTTTTTTTTCAATCTTATGGTATTGCAAGTCTAATGTCTTTTTCTTGTAGATCTGGGGTGTCGAACGCCAATGTGGAGGGCATCCACACTCTCTCAGAGCTACCCCGATTTGGGGTCGAGCTGTTGGATTTTGAACGTCTAGACCGGTGAGGCACGATTTGGGGATCTGTATTGGACGGCTAAAAGTGTCTGAACCGGTCAATCAGGACATTTGCGGGTGTTTGGGTGATTCAGGTTGGAGATGTCCTTAGGAGGGTAGAACAGTAATTTTGACCCGTTCCGCGCTCCAAAATTGTGTGCACAGAATGACCCACACAGTATTCACATGCAGTCAATTGTGAAAAGGTTTCATAACTTTATACCAGAATTGGATGCATCGATCTCCGCGAAAGGGCCGGAGGTAGATTCTTCAGCGGTAAATTCTTTCGAGCTTCAACGCCTACTTTAGGTTCCCTTGCTTCTTTTTTTCCCGCACATGCAGGTGCAGATATATACAGAGCAAACATGCAGGGGCTCATCACGTTGCCTGCAATACTGCATCGTCGGTGAAGCTTTTGCCTTTGCAGCACCGAGAAGATGAGCATGCTCAAGTCTTTCCCGCACGGTATCGCCATGCCGGCACAGGCCCATCCAAGCTGGTACGTACGCAAGACTCTCTTCCTCACACGCATATGTACGCGATGTGATGAGCAAGCGGATGAAGTGTAATCGTTGATGCATCATGCGTGCAGGTTTAGGAACCGGGTTGCCACAAGAGCTGGGACACGGGCCTGCAAGTTCACCGCGACAGCTCATTTCGAGGACACGGTGACGGGAATGCCGGTGCCAGAGCAGGCGGAGGCGGAGGTGGCGCGGAGTCTGAACCTAGGCGGGTGGGTGCAGGAACAGATGTTGCCGCTGCTCACCTCGGTGGAGGACGCGTGGCAGCCCAGCGACCTGCTTCCCTGCTTTTCACTTTCTTCAGCAGGTAGCGTTGCCGAGGAGCAGCAGCCGTCGATGACGATGATGGTGGAGGAGCTGCAGGCCCGAGCGTCGGGCGTGCCGGACGACGTGCTGGTGTGCCTGGTGGGCAACATGGTAACGGAGGAAGCGCTGCCGACGTACATGTGCATGAGCAACCGAGTGGTGGGCAACCGCGACGACACGGGTTGCAGCGAGCTCCCCTGGGCGCGCTGGCTCCGGGGCTGGACGGCCGAGGAGAACCGCCACGGCGACCTCCTCAACCGCTATCTCTACCTCTCCGGCCGCGTCGACATGCGCCGGGTTGAGAGGACCGTCCACCACCTCCTCCGCAACGGTATGCAGATGCTGAGGCCGTCTAGCCCCTACCACAACGTCGTCTACACTTCCTTCCAGGAGCGCGCCACCTTCATCTCGCACTCCCACACCGCAAGGCACGCCATGCGCCACGGCGACCGCTGCCTCGCCAAGATCTGCGGCGTCGTGGCCGCCGACGAGAAGCGCCACGAGGCGGCATACACTAAGGCAGCCGCCAAGCTCTTCGAGCTCGACCCGGACGGGATGGTGCGAGCGGTGGCCGCCGTTCTGCGCGACAAGATCACCATGCCCGGCCAGCTCATGACAGACGGCCGAGACGCCGACCTCCTCGCGAAATTCTCGGCGGTCGCGCAGCGCACCGGGGTGTACACGGCAAGGGACTACGGCGACATGGTGGAGCACTTCGTGCGGAGGTGGAAGGTGGCTGACCTCGCCGGGGGTCAGCTGTCCGGCGAGGGGCGGCGCGCTCAGGAGTACGTTTGCGGGCTGCCGCGCAAGATCCGGCGGGTGGAGGAGCTGGCCCACGACCGCGCGATCAAAGCCGCGAAAGAGCCCGAGTTCGCAAGGTTCAGCTGGGTCTTCGACAGGTCTGTCTGCATCAGAGGCAGAGCCTAATCCAACTGTCCATCTACTAAATTTCACCCCTAAAAATATCTACTCCAAGGCCATGAATAAGAAGCAGCAGCAGCGGCGGTATCAGTATCAGGATCGTCGTCACGATCAGTAGAGTACCCTCTTCTGTTGCATAATACTCCCTTCGTCTCATAATATAAGAATGTTTTATATTATGAGACGGAAGAAGTACTATAGTACGATTGATCGGAGTAATTAGCTGCAACCTATGCAAAGTATGTGTGTTTGTTTATTGAAGTTTGGACTAGTCGTATAACCAAGTTTATGCAGTGTACTTGTACTCTATATGATTCTGTGAAGTGATGGAAATGTATGTGTAATGCCGTGTGCATTTCTCTTTTTTGTGTACTTATTTGCAAACTCGGCTAAATAATTAGCAGTAATGTATGCAACTTTATTTGTGTTGGTTTGCTCAGGCTACAGTGCTTCACTACTCTAGCAGAACTAATTTTTTCGCAGTAACTAGCAACTGGCACATGTGTTGCAATGGATCTAAAATAGACTAATATATGTTCACAAACCCGGGGGGAAATATGACGCCATTTTTGGTAATTATCACTACAAATATGTTAGGTTTCATCCAAAATTCATTTGTTCTTGTTTGTTTGGATGAGGTGCGTGAGGGATTAGACTGGTCTCGAGAGGTTGAGGGGTTTTCTACAAATATGGAGCAAAGTGGCAGTGGTCTTTTGTAAAAAATAGTTTTGGAGACAATGTATTGTATGATAAGTGTTTTAATAGTCTCCAGTCGGTAAAGGTTGTGCAGACTCATATCCGACTAGACTGGTATCTCTACTCCTAATGTCTCAGTTGGTAGGTTGCGTTTCGGGTTTAATTTTCGTTCCACCATTTTCGTCCAGGTTTTTTTCGTCCGGTTTTTTTTCGCTGGTTTTTTTTCGTCACCTCCCCACCCCACACACGCACCCTCAAAAAAACCACCCCGCCCGCAGTCCTCCCGTCGCCGCCGCCGTCCACTCGATCCCATCGATCCCATCTATCGTTGCCGCCGTCCGAGGGGGAGCCGTCGCCGCCGCCTCTGCAAGGCAGGGCGGTTTGAATCTCGCAGCCGCCGAACTCCGGGAGATGCCGTCGCCGCCTCTCCAGGGCAGGGCGGTTTCAGTCCCTGCCGCCGAACTCCGGAAGACGCCGCCGCCGCCGAACTCCATGACCCATGGCTGCCACACATCTTCCTCCACGCACGGCCGCACCCCCACCCCTTTTTCTTCCCTCCCTCCAGCCTTCATCTCTACCCGTCCCACTCCTTGGCCTTCAATGGTGATCTGCTGCCTCCCGCTCCTCGTGCTCCGATCTGACAACTGATCCACCGCCGCGCCTCGGATACGTCGCGACGCCTCGGATACCGGCGACCGGCGGTGATCTGAGACCAACGAGTCGGCACCACATCCCTGGTACTTTCCTTCCCCATCCGCCAACCCTCTACCCTCCCCCTCTACAAAGGCCCGTGCAGCCCTATCCGTCCGACCTCGACGGACACGACCATCCGGGCAGACGCGGCCATCATGGATCACGAGAACGCCGGCGCCACCGGCGCCTTGGATGCATCGCCCGTCACCAGTACAGTGGCACCTCGCTGCTGCCGCTCGGCATGGATGGCCGCCCCAAGACATGGATAAGCTCTCGTGATCCCCACCCCACCCCTCTCATCCCCTGAATCCGTATCCTCTGCTCGTGCTCTCCTGTTCCTCCTGAAACGACGAGGGTAGTGCCGGCCATGGCTCAGCAGGATAGCATAATTAAGCTTGCCCTTTTTCTTTTGTGTTTGAATCAGATTTGCTGTTTCTCAGTTTTACATGCACGTATCAATCTTTCTTCTGTATGCAGGTTACACACCTAATGATTTTTACAACCTCTTCTGCAGATCTTCAGAATACCGAGCGAAATATTGGCTTGGAACGATCTTGGGTTGGCAGGGCGGCCAGACCAGGTGGCAAATGTGGTGCACGAGTCAACCTCACATCATACTGTGGTGTCTAGGATGGGCGTGGTGTAACATGACGCTTTCTAGAAGCATGTTATCGAATATCTCCACAGAATCCCGAGCTTGCCTAATTCCCAAAGCATGTTATCATAAGGATGAGTACGGAGGACAACTCTCTCAATTCCCAAAGCACTAATCTTGTCCTAATTGCTCATATATTGAATCACTTTTCGCTGCAAATATGTTTTCTGTTTGATGAGCTAGAAGATGCTTGGAGGCTAAGGGCAAAGAGGATCTGATGTTCACGTTTTTGGGAGGCAATAAGTACTTTGTGCACTTTGGCTGTGGATATGGGTACACATGCTTGATGTCTCGATGAATTGGAGAACAGATGTAATGGTATGTCCTCTATGCAAGGACATGAGTCCTCCAAATTGAAGTACGTGATGGGAGAGTAGTTAGGAAACTTTGTTTGTGTACAGGTTGCTTTTCCTGTATATAGCGGGCGCTGGAATTTTCAGTTGCGATGATAGCAAGGATCAAGGAAAAGAGAACAAGGGTGGGGCTTAAACTTCAGTACGAGCGCTTGCCGTGGTTCTGCTATGCATGTGGCTACATCGGGCATCAGGTCATGTCTTGTGTGCGTAAGTTCAGGTGGTGAACCTGTATGCTGATGACTGCGATGCTTACCACTGAGGAAGTTCATGCAGCAAGCAGGAAGTAAGACCTGAATTTAACTAGATGACCCACAATATCTAGCAACTCAAACCATTGTGTCACATTAGAGTAATTTTTAATACAGTCATATAGCTATCCATGCTGACATGTTGTATTATTATTTTCATTGGAGGTTAATTAAGTTTTTTTTCCAGGCACCTTGGACAAATTTTGGAAAGAGGGGCACGACTCGGAGGTATGAGCCCCAACAAGGGCCATCACAGCTGCGCTGACAAGCAAGTGTAAGTTGGTGATGGTGCCACCGTGTCAGAGTTCGGAGACTACCCTTGGAAGCACAAATTGGACAAAGTCCCTTGTGCCACTGGTGTTTCAACACCAGGGATGTGATTTTGCTCTATAGTTTGCAGTACATTAGACAATTTTGTATGCTATTCAGTAATTAATGCTAAAGTTTATTCCTACAGCTTGTACATGAACAGGTCCCTGTTTACCGATGGCGAAAACTCATCCTTGATCCAGCTTACTCCTGCAAATGTTGACCAACAGACAATTCTCTTCATGCCTTATTCATAACATCAAATTTCTCAACCTGATGGCATCTGTCAAGGATCTCTAAAGCCGATGGATTAAACTTGTGTTTTTCTCGTGTGTTCAGTATACATGGTTATCTTCGTAGGCTAATTTCACTTTTGATAACTGATGATAAAGCGACAATGGAATCGGAAGGTGAGCTAAAAAATAATCTTGTTATCTATTGTTGTTGCAAATTTTCCAGTATGCGTGTATCTATATCATAAAAAAGGAAGCAAGTTTATACCATGATTATAATGTCTTACTGATGTGCTTATTGTATCAATGAAACATCTCAAATGCATTTCCTTTTACAAATCTAATTACTAGGATTCTTTTTTTCTTTCGTTTTATATTTAACATTAAAGTTTGCTTTTCTATCTTTTCTGATTCACAAATTACGGTCATGCCAATGGAAATGATGAATACACTTCTATAGTTGGTCGTAAAACCAGTCGAGCATCTGGCCAAACCCATTTGCAATGCAGGCCCAAAAAACTTCATTATTCATTCTGCAAGCTGCCTAAAGAAAAAACAGCAACACTGAAACCATCTCTAGTTCATTAATTGGTTCGGATAATCAAATTATTCAATTGAAACATGTGAGAAATTATTGTAAAAAGAATCTGGATGCATCATATTAAAAGTGGAATAGGGGCAGCGGCATCGATGCTTCGTAATGACCATCTGCTGGAAGGCGACGCGGTTGGCGAGAATTTGCTTAGCTCTTTCGATGACGCCACACGAGCATTCATGAATTCCGAGTAAGCCGCGACCCGGTTTGACAGGGTGAGGGATGCGGGAGTGGTTGACAATGAGGTGGCCCTGTCTAAGGGCACCCAGTAGACTGAGAAAGGAACATTGTTTCTGTAAAAAAAATGATATTTAGACTTTTAGAGCACCCCCTGCACTACGTGAGATTTAGAAGGTATTCAGATTAGTGTTTGCTAATTTCTGTAAATTCCGTTTGTGTGAGTTTTATATTTTTCTATCCCTGTCAATGTACTAATCCACTGTTCATTGATGTGCAGGTGGTATGGCCGGCGGATGCATCCATGTGCTAATCATCTGGCACCAAGCGGACGGAGCTGAACAAGTTGGGGCCACCAACTGGCTGACAACACACACATGGGCGAGCATGAGCAACATGGAGCTAGGGAGTAAGCTAGGAGCGGATGGACGGGGCGTGAGGTAGAATGGGGGTGGGGAGCGGGCGGACCGTGGACATAAGAGAACAACACCCGGTTTGTTAATTACTTCATGCACGATCACAGATTTATCTCTTTATTTATGTGGCTTATCAGGCTTGCCGCACGATCATAGATTTATCTCTTTATTTATGTGGGTGGGCAGAAACATCCTTTCTAAAGTTTTCTTGGGGCTGTATTGACGAACAACTTGTTCAGTGATACCAGCCCCTTCGAGCTCCTTCAACCCTTCGACAACACTTATTCAGTTTCTCACCACAAGTGAGTTCTATTTGCACCAACAAGCGTGTTAATCATTGTACGTGTTGGTAATCAGAGTTTAGATAAATGCTACTAATGCTAGCGCTCGCCCTACATGGACAAAGTGGTGGCCGAACGATATGGTTAAATACTAAACTGACTTGGAAGAAGCAACATAACTTATTATGGACAAAGAGAGATGCATAATTTTTCTAATCTGTTTATTATTAGTTGTTTCATGCATCATTTAGGGTAGAAAATTCCTAGAACATGAGTTTGTCCTTGCATAATTATCCATGCTTGATGGCACTAAATCGTATCAGCATACTTTAAGTTTGTCCTTGTAT